GCGCACGCAAGGTCCCCCTGCTCAAGCCAGCGCATGTCCAGGCCCGTCTGAAGTTTGCCAGTGACCATCTGGATGATCCAGAGGAGGAATGGGAGAAGGTCATGTGGTCTGATGAGACAAAAATTTAGCTTTTTGGTCTAAACTCCACTCACCATGTTTGGAGGAAGAAGAAGGATAAGTACAACCCCAAGAACACCATCCCAACCATGAAGCATGGAGGTGGAAACATCATTCTTTGGGGATGCTTTTCTGCAAAGGGGACAGGACGACTGCACCGTATTGAGGGGAGGATGGATGTGGCCATGTATCGCGAGATCTTGGCCAACAACCTCCTTCCCTCAGTAAGAGCATTGAAGATGGGTCGTGGCTGGGTCTTCCAGCATAACAACGACCCGAAACACACAGCTAGGGCAACTAAGGAGTGGCTCCGTAAGAAGCATCTCAAGGTCCTGGAGTGGCCTAGCCAGTCTCCAGACCTGAACCCAATAGAAAATCTTTGGAGGGAGCTGAAAGTCCTTATTGCCCAGCGACAGCCCCGAAACCTGAAGGATCTGGAGAAGGTCTGCATGGAGGAGTGGGCCAAAATCCCTGCTGCAGTGTGTGCAAACCTGGTCAAGACCTACAGGAAACGTATGATCTCTGTAAAGGTTTCTGTACCAAATATTAAGTTCTGCTTTTCTGATGTATCAAATACTTATGTCATGCAATAAAATGCAAATTAATTACTTAAAATTCATACAATGTGATTTTCTGGATTTTTGTTTTAGATTCCGTCTCTCACAGTTGAAGTGTACATATGATAAAAATTACAGACCTCTACATGCTTTGTAAGTAGGAAAACCTGCAAAATCGGCAGTGTATCAAATACTTGTTCTCCCCACTGTAGGTGGTGTTTGTGTTATCTCTCTGTAGACTATGTGTAGGTAGCGTGTGTGTTATCTCTCTGTAGACTATATGTAGGTAGTGTGTGTGTGTTATCTCTCTGTAGACTATATGTAGGTAGTGTGTGTGTTATCTCTCTGTAGACTATATGAAGGTAGTGTGTGTGTTATCTCTCTGTAGACTATATGTAGGTAGTGTGTGTGTTATCTCTCTGTAGACTATATGGAGGTAGTGTGTGTTATCTCTGTAGACTATATGTAGGTAGTGTGTGTGTTATCTCTCTGTAGACTATATGTAGGTAGTGTGTGTGTTATCTCTCTGTAGACTATATGAAGGTAGTGTGTGTGTTATCTCTCTGTAGACTTAATGTAGGTATTGTGTGTGTTATTGGTCTGTAGACTATATGTAGGTAGTGTGTGTGTTATCTCTCTGTAGACTAAATGAAGGTAGTGTGTGTGTTATCTCTGTAGACTATATATAGGTATTGTGTGTGTTATCTCTCTGTAGACTTTATGAAGGTAGTGTGTGTGTTATCTCTCTGTAGACTTAATGTAGGTATTGTGTGTGTTATCTGTCTGTAGACTATATGAAGGTAGTGTGTGTGTTATCTCTCTGTAGACTATATGTAGGTTTTGTGTGTGTTATCTCTCTGTAGACTATATGTAGGTAGTGTGTGTTTGTTAGATCTGTAGATGTAGGTTGTATGCATTATGCAGAGCTAGGAGAGGGTTCTATAAATAAATCAGGCTGCAGTGGGCTCACAGGCGGAATAATCTATCTGACACCAGGGAGAGAGAGAGAAAGAGAGAGAGACAGAGGAAGAGAGAGACAGACGGAAAGAGGGAGAGAGAGGAAAACAGAGAGAGAGAGAGAGAGAGAGAGAGAGAGAGGATGCTAGGATCTTACACCAGGGCTGGAACCTGAGAGAGACCTGGCTTCCCCGGGTTTAAATAACAATATGTAGCTTTCACTTCTGGTCAAAGTGCTGCCATTGCACTTGTGTGTAAACTCAGGGGGTGGGTTAACCCTTTTATTGTTCACAGATAGATGGGAGATTGTTGAGTGGAGCTGAAGGGTGGGACTAAAAATAACAAGATAACTAATGTAAAATATACTGTGTCCTTAAAATGTATATAGTATGTAAAAGCTGGAAGTAGAAGCTTATGTGTTGTTGTCCATTAGTTTACTCCAATTAGGGGAGGGGAAAATAATAAAGGAAAGTATACAGTGGGGAGAACAAGTATTTGATACACTGCCGATTTTGCAGGTTTTCTTACTTACAAAGCATGTAGAGGTCTGTAATTTTTTATCATAGGTACACTTCAACTGTGAAAATCCAGAAAATCACATTGTATGATTTTTAAGTAATTAATTTGCATTTTATTGCATGACATAAGTATTTGATACATCAGAAAAGCAGAACTTAATATTTGGTACAGAAACCTTTGTTTGCAATGACAGAGATCATACGTTTCCTGTAGGTCTTGACCAGGTTTGCACACACTGCAGCAGGGATTTTGGGCCACTCCTCCATACAGACCTTCTCCAGATCCTTCAGGTTTCGGAGCTGTCGCTGGGCAATAAGGACTTTCAGCTCCCTCCAAAGATTTTCTATTGGGTTCAGGTCTGGAGACTGGCTAGGCCACTCCAGGACCTTGAGATGCTTCTTACGGAGCCACTCCTTAGTTGCCCTGGCTGTGTGTTTCGGGTCGTTGTCATGCTGGAAGACCCAGCCACGACCCATCTTCAATGCTCTTACTGAGGGAAGGAGGTTGTTGGCCAAGATCTCGCGATACATGGCCCCTTCCATCCTCCCCTCAATACGGTGCAGTCGTCCTGTCCCGTTTGCAGAAAAGCATCCCCAAAGAATGATTTTTCCACCTCCATGCTTCACGGTTGGGATGGTGTTCTTGGGGTTGTACTCATCCTTCTTCTTCCTCCAAACACGGCGAGTGGAGTTTAGACCAAAAAGCTCTATTTTTGTCTCATCAGACCACATGACCTTCTCCCATTCCTCCTCTGGATCATCCAGATGGTCATTGGCAAACTTCAGAAGGGCCTGGACATGCGCTGGCTTGAGCAGGGGGACCTTGCGTGCGCTGCAGGATTTTAATCCATGACGGCGTAGTGTGTTACTAATGGTTTTCTTTGAGACTGTGGTCCCAGCTCTCTTCAGGTCATTGACCAGGTCCTGCCGTGTAGTTCTGGGCTGATCCCTCACCTTCCTCATGATCATTGATGTCCCACGAGGTGAGATCTTGCATGGAGCCCCAGACCGAGGTTGATTGACCGTCATCTTGAACTTCTTCCATTTTCTAATAATTGCGCCAACAGTTGTTGCCTTCTCACCAAGCTGCTTGTCTATTGTCCTGTAGCCCATCCCAGCCTTGTGCAGGTCTACAATTTTATCCCTGATGTCCTTACACAGCTCTCTGGTCTTGGCCATTGTGGAGAGGTTGGAGTCTGTTTGATTGAATGTGTGGACAGGTGTCTTTTATACAGGTAACAAGTTCAAACAGGTGCAGTTAATACAGGTAATGAGTGGAGAACAGGAGGGCTTCTTAAAGAAAAACTAACAGGTCTGTGAGAGCCGGAATTCTTACTGGTTGGTAGGTGATCAAATACTTATGTCATGCAATAAAATGCAAATTAATTACTTAAAAATCATACAATGTTATTTTCTGGATTTTTGTTTTAGATTCTGTCTCTCACAGTTGAAGTGTACCTATGATAAAAATTACAGACCTCTACATGCTTTGTAAGTAGGAAAACCTGCAAATTGGGGATACCTAGTTAGTTGCACAACTAAATGCATTCAACCGAAATGTGTTTTCCGCATTTAACCCAACCCCTCTGAATCAGAGGGAGGTTTTCCAATGCCTCGCAAAGAAGGGCACCTGTTGGTAGATGGGTAAAAATAAAAAAAGCAGACTTTGAATATCCCTTTGAGCATGGTTAAGTTATTAATTACACTTTGGATGGTGTATCAATACACCCAGTCACTACAAAGATACAGGTGTCCTTCTTAACTCGGTTGCGGAGAGGAAGGAAAACGCTCAGGGACTTCACCATGAGGCCAGTTGTGACCTTAAAACAGTTACAGAGTTTAATAGCTGTGATAGGAGAAAACTGAGGATGGATCAACAACATTGTAGTTTCTCCACAATACTAACCTAATTGACAGAGTGAAAAGAAGGAAGCCTGTGCAGAATAAATATATTCCAAAGCATGCATCCTGTTTACAACAAGGCACTAATGTAATATTGCAAAAAATGTGGCAAAGCAATTCACTTTTTGTCCTGAATACAAAGTGTTATGTTTGGGGCAAATCCAATACAACACATAACTGAGTACCACTCTCCATATTTTCAAGCATAGTGGTGGCTGTATGATGTTATGGTTTGCTTGTAATTGTTAAGGACTGAGTTTTTCAGGATAAAAAATTTATGGAATGGAGCTAAGCACAGACAAAATCCTAGAGGAAAACCTGGTTCAGTCTGCTTTCCACCAGACACTGGGAGATTAATCCACCTTTCAGCAGGACAATAACCTAAAACACAAGGCCAAATCTACGCTGGTGTGGCTTACCAAGAAGACAGTGAATGGCCGGGTTACAGTTTTGACTTAAATCTACTTGAAAATCTATGGCAAGACCTGAAAATGGTTGTCAAGCAATGATCAAATACCAATTTGACAGAGGTTGAAGAATTTTGAAAAGAATAATGGGCAAATGTTGCACAATCCAGGTGTGGAAAGCTCTTAGAGACTTACCCAGAAAGTAAGTAATCGCTGCCAAAAGTCATTCTAACATGTATTGACTCAGGAGGTTGAATACTTATCTAATCAAGATATATTAGTGTTTTTTTTTTAGAATGTTTCCTCCACTGTGTAGATCGTTGAAAAAAAAGACAATTAAATACATTTTAATCCCACTTTGTAATACAACAAAATATGTTAAAAAGTCAAGGAGTGTGAATACTCTCTGAAGGCACTGTATTTCCCACGGTCTGCATTCCATTGACCTTTTTATCACATTAATACCCCCCCCCCCCCCCCCCCCCCCCTCCCGCTCTTTCTCTCTCTCTCTCTCTCTCTCTCTCTCTCTCTCTCTTTGCCAGGTGATGGAGGTGAAGGGTCAGATGATTCATGCCCCAGAATCCTCTACTCTGATGTTCCTGGGTTCCCCCCGGGTGGACAAGCTGGAGGAGCTGATGGGCAGGGGCCTCTACCTGTCAGACATCCCCATCCACGACGCCACGCGTGATGTCATACTGGTGGGACAGCAGGCCAAGGCACAGGACGGCCTCAAAAACAGGATGGACAAACTCAAGGTACAGTCACACACACACACGCAATATGCACGCACGCACACACACATGTGCTCATACTCATTATTCTGTCATGTAGACATTCAGCAGGGGACTCCTCCGGCTTTAGAAGAAGAGGAAATGCGTCGGTCACTAAATCTTTACTCCATCATCCCCATTCTACTAATTGTATTTCTATCCCTCTGCTCTTCCCCAGGCCACTCTAGAAAAGACACACCAAGCTCTAGAAGAGGAGAAGAGGAGGACAGTAGACCTTCTCTACTCCATCTTTCCTGGTGATGTGGCCCAGAAGCTGTGGCAGGGGGAGTCTGTCCCCGCCAGGAAGTTTGATGATGTCACCATGTTGTTCTCTGACATTGTGGGCTTCACAGCAGTGTGTGCCCAGTGTACCCCCATGCAGGTCATCAGCATGCTCAACGAGCTCTACACACGCTTCGACTACCAGTGTGGAATACTGGACGTGTATAAGGTATGAACACACACCTGTTTGCACGTGCACATACTGTACACTCATTGCATGCGTGTTATACGTGTCAGGGTTGGGGTCGATTCTGAATTGAGTTGCGAATTGTTCTTTAATTCCAATTCAATTATTGTATTTGAATTGAATTTGAATTGAATTGCAATTCAATTATTGTATTTTAATTGAATTTGAATTGGCCACACCCCACAGGAAGCAAAATTTGAATTGCATTTGAATTAAAGGAATTAGAATTTAATTCAAATGGCTTATTTATTCTACACATCACCATAGCAACGTCTACATTTACATTTACGTCATTTAGCAGACGCTCTTATCCAGAGCCACTTACAGTTAGTGAGTGCATACATTTTCATACTGGCCACCCGTGGGAAACGAACCCACAACCCTGGTGTTGCAAGTGCCATGCTCTACCAACTGAGCTACAGGGGACTAGTACCATTTAGCATAAGGTTGAAACATTTCATCTTTAAAACTCATTCTCCATTAACAATTTTAAATAATTACAGTAGTCTGGAAATATTCGAAGATCATGTTGTCGGTTGTCTGTAATAATTCATAATTCCCTTAATGTTTTTAAATATCAGAAGATTTTTTTTTCTCCCTAATGCATTATATCAAACACTGCAGTATGGAAGGGAACAATCAAATCAAATCTAATTGTATTTGTCACATGCGCCAAATACAACCTTACAATTAAATGCTTACTAACAAGCCCTTAACCAACAATGCAGTTTTAAGAAAAATAAGTGTTAAGTAAAAAATTGATAAGTAAAAAAACGATGCAATAGTCCAGGTAGCCATTTGATTAGCTGTTCAGGAGTCTTATGGCTTGGGGGTAGAAGCTGTTAAGAAGCCTTTTGGACCTAGACTTGACCCCAGTGATGTACTGGGCCATACGCACTACCCTCTGTAGTGCCTTGCGGTCGGAGGCTGAGCAGTTGCCATACCAGACGGTGATGCAACCAGTCAGGATGCTCTCCATGGTGCAGATGTATAACTTTTTGAGGATCTGAGGACCCATGCCAAATCTTTTCAGTCTCCTGAGGGGGGAATAGGCTTTGTCGTGCCCTCTTCACAACTGTCTTGGTGTGTTTGGACCATGATAGTTTGTTGGTGATGTGGACACCAAGGAACTTGAAGCTCTCAACCTGTTCCACTACAGCCCGTCGATGAGAATGGGGGCGTGCTCGGTCCTCCTTTTCCTGTAGTCCACAATCATCTCCTTTGTCTTGATCACGTTGAGGGAGAGGTTGTTATCGTGGCACCACACGGCCAGGTCTCTGAACTCCTCCCTATAGGCTGTCTCATCGTTGTCGGTGATCAGGCCTACCACTGTTGTGTCGTCGGCAAACTTAATGATGGTGTTGAAGTCGTGCTTGGCCATGCAGTCATGGGTGAACAGGGAGTACAGGAGGGGACTGAGCATGTACCCCTGAGGGGCCCCGTGTTGAGGATCAGCGTGGCAGATGTGTTGTTACCTACCCTTACCACCTGGGGGCGGCCCGTCAGGAAGTCGAGGATCCAGTTGCAGAGGGAGGTGTTTAGTCCCAGGGTCCTTAGCTTAGTGATGAGCTTTGAGGGCACTATAGTGTTGAACGCTGAGCTGTAGTAATTGAATAGCATTCTCACGTAGGTGTTCCTTTGTCCAGGTGGGAAAGGGCAGTGTGGAGTGCAATAGAGATTGCATCATCTGTGGATCTGTTGGGGCGGTATGCAAATTGGAGTGGGTCTAGGGTTTCTGGGATAATGGTGTTGATGTGATTTAATATCTCATGACAAAGAAAAATACTGTTTGACATATTTGAGTTATAATAAAATGTATATTTCAAATGGTATGTGTATTATTTGCATTACTAAGTGGCATGTCCTTTTTATAAAAGATTTGTCAAATGAATGAGACTTTCATTTTTCACATCTCAGTTGATTCAAATTAAATTCAAATTCTGCTTCCTGTGGGGTGTGGCCAATTCAAATTAAATTCACAATTGACTCCAACCCTGAAACGTGTCGTCAGTCCACATACAGTGAGGGAAAAAAGTATTTGATCCCCTGCTGAATTTGTACGTTTGCCCACTGACAAAGAAATGATCAGTCTATAATTTTAATGGTAGGTTTATTTGAACAGTGAGAGACAGAATAACAACAACAAAATCCAGAAAAACGCATGTCAAAAATGTTAGAAATTGATTTGCATTTTAATGAGGGAAATAAGTATTTGACCACTCTGCAAAACATGACCTAGTACTTGGTGGCAAAACCCTTGTTGGCAATCACAGAGGTCAGACGTTTCTTATAGTTGGCCACCAGGTTTGCACACATCTCAGGAGGGATTTTGTCCCACTCCTCTTTGCAGATCTTCTCCAAGTCATTAAGGTTTCGAGGCTGACGTTTGGCAACTCGAACCTTCAGCTCCCTCCACAGATTTTCTATGGGATTAAGGTCTGGAGACTGGCTAGGCCACTCCAGGACCTTAATGTGCTTCTTCTTGAGCCACTCCTTTGTTGCCTTGGCCATGTGTTTTGGGTTATTGTCATGCTGGAATACCCATCCACGACCCATTTTCAATGCCCTGGCTGAGGGAAGGAGGTTCTCACCCAAGATTTGACGGTACATGGCCCCGTCCATCGTCCCTTTGATGCGGTGAAGTTGTCCTGTCCCCTTAGCAGAAAAACACCTCCAAAGCATAATGTTTCCACCTCAATGTTTGATGGTGTTCTTGGGGTCATAGGCAGCATTCCTCCTCCTCCAAACACGGCGAGATGAGTTGATGCCAAAGAGCTCCATTTTGGTCTCATCTGACCACAACACTTTCACCCAGTTCTCCTCTGAATCATTCAGATGTTCATTGGCAAACTTCAGACGGGCATGTATATGTGCTTTCTTGAGCAGGGGGACCTTGCGGGCGCTGCAGGATTTCAGACCTTCACGGCGTAGTGTGTTACCAATTGTTTTCTTGGTGACTATGGTCCCAGCTGCCTTGAGATCATTGACAAGATCCTCCCGTGTAGTTCTGGGCTGATTCTTCACCGTTCTCATGATCATTGCAACTCCACGAGGTGAGATCTTGCATGGAGCCCCAACTGTTGTCACCTTCTCACCAAGCTGCTTGGCGATGGTCTTGTAGCCCATTCCAGCCTTGTGTAGGTCTACAATCTTGTCCCTGACATCCTTGGAGAGCTCTTTGGTCTTGGCCATGGTGGAGGGTTTGGAATCTGATTGATTGATTGCTTCTGTGGACAGGTGTCTTTTATACAGGTAACAAGCTGAGATTAGGAGCACTCCCTTTAAGACTTTAAGAGTGTGCTCCTAATCTCAGCTCGTTACCTGTATAAAAGACACCTGGGAGCCAGAAATCTTTCTGATTGAGAGGGGTTCAAATTCTTATTACCCTCATTAAAATGCAAATCAATTTATAACATTTTTGACATGCGTCTTTCTGGATTTTTTTGTTGTTATTCTGTCTCTCACTGTTCAAATAAACCTACCATTAAAATTATAGACTGATAATTTCTTTGTCAGTGGGCAAACGTACAAAATCAGCAGGGGATCAAATACTTTTTTCCCTCACTGTAGGAGAGGTTTAGTGCAATTGAGTAATGGTGCTGCCATGGGTAAATACAAGGACCAATCAAGTTGTGTTTTATATCAGCACTGTGTGTGTGTGTGGAAAAACACACTGATTAATGGCTAATGTAACGGAGCTTAACAACAGTGTGTCAATACTGGCTGCCTGACAGAGTGGCTTTACAGCAAGGCCCAGTGCGTCCATTAACAACCATCACTCCCTCTATCCATCCCTCCATCTATCACTACATCAGCTCTCGTCCTTCGCCAGGGTTTGAGTCAGCACAGATACAGCTGTTTTTGCTTTCCCTACCCTTCCTCTCTCCTCACCCTTCCTCTCTTCTCACCCTTACTCTCTCCTCACCCTTCCTCTCTCCTCACCCTTCCTTTCTCCTCACCCTTCCTCTCTCCTCACCCTTCCTCTCTTCTCACCCTTCCTTTCTCCTCACCCTTCCTCTCTCCTCACCCTTCCTCTCTTCTCACCCTTCCTCTCTCCTCACCCTTACTCTCTCCTCACCCTTCCACTGTTTTACTTGACTCTTCCCCTTCTCTCTTTCTACTTCAATTTTCTCTCGTCTCCACTTTCACTTCTCCCTCTCTCTTTTCCTGCTCCATTGTCATGGTTACTCTGGATAAATGACTGTGACTGGCTGAAAATGAGAGTTGTGTTTCTTGTTGTCAGGTACAGCTTGTCTGAGTGTTTATTTTCATTCTGCCATCAACCCTGTCAGGATAAAAATTTTTACAACTTGTTTTATTATTTTTTATTATGAAAATATTTAAATGTGATGAAAATATGGAACTCAAATCAAATTAAATGCTCATGGCTTCATGTACTCTCCTCCAATCCCCATATAGATTGAGACTATAGGCGACGCCTACTGTGTTGCGGGCGGGCTCCACCGGAAGATTGACAGCCATTCCAAGCCAATCGCACTCATGGCCCTGAAGATGATGGAGCTGTCAGAGGAGGTGTTAACGCCGGACGGCAAATCCATCAAGGTGAGCCTTCGCTTGGCGGGGGGGGGGGGGGGGCACCTTCTCCTTCACTCTCTTTTTCTCTCTCCCTTTTCACTCCCTCCCCCTCTCTCTCTTTCTCTTCTCTCTTCTCTCTCTTTCTCTCTTTCTCTCTCTCCCTCCCTTTATTTCTCTCTCTTTTCACCCTCTCCTCCTACTCTGTCTGTCTCTCTTCTCATTCAAATGTAAATGTAGTTTACACCTAGAATTTAAGGCATCTATAAGCTGATCATTGCAGTGCTGTGTTGTGCAATTGTGTTGTGCTAGCTGTTTTGTGCCACAGACAGAAGGGGTAACACAGACACGTCACAGGGGCTATAAAGCTGAAGCATCCGTTTAGAACGTTTTCTCACCACCAACCATGGTAGTGAGAGGAATTCCAGTAGTGGGAGAGGATGGAACTAGGCAAAACTGGGCCGACATTGATGAAACATCGGATCTCAATACATTTTTCGGAATCTATTACGAACACAGTGCACTAAGTTTATAGACTTGACGCTTTGCCAAAGTAAAAAAAAAAAAATTGTGTTTAGGAGTGCAAGGTCAAATTGAGTTTGTGCACACGCGCACTTCACAGAGGAGGCGTTGCCTAACAGAAATATGCAAATACATGCTACAACGCGCCAATAGGATCTGGCTTTGCCCACCTCCATAGTTCTGCCCACTATGCTGAATTTGCTCCCACGGTAAACAACACAGGTTAATTATCTTGTAGGGCTCGGCGATATGGCCAAAATATCATATCACTGTATTTAAAAATAATAATAAAAAATGGTATGACGGTATTTTATGATATTTTATGTTTTTGAATAGTAAAAGTTCTACATTTTCTTTATGAGTAGTACATGACCCTAGGGTGGCAACACATACCTGTACATTCTAAGTGATGTCAATGGGTCTGTCTCCATTCTGATTGTTATACTGTTCAATTCAGCTTCAATCCAAAATAATTTCCTGCATTTCCATCAATTTCTGCATTTCCTGCACTCATTTGAGATCATTTCCACACTGCCCCGTAGGGCTGCATGATATGGGCAAAAAAACGAGGCCTTATTTTTAACCAAATGTTGCAATTGCGATTTGACTTGTGACTTAGATCAAAACACTTGGGTGAACTGTTGGAATCATGGAAATATAATGTTTATTCTAATTATATAGTTAAAATCTAAATAATAGTGGGCACTTTGAATACAGTGTTGTTTGACATGACAACGAATGAAAATGCCAGGGAGGCGTAATTGTGACAGGGTAGGAACCAAAGTGATGTTCAGTGTTTCCTAGAGGACCCTATAATCTTTGGCTACATTAAATGTTTCTTCTTGTAGCCAACATATTAATGCTTCGCTTATTCTTCTTTGATATAGAAGATACTGTTGCACAAATGACATGCTGATTTAGGCCTACACCATCACTGGTATCAGGCTGTATTAGCTATCTACGTTTGCTCTGACTCTGTACATTTATTAGCTAGCGATTAGCGGCTAACACGATTTAGCTTAACTTGATAAGAAAAGACAAACTAGCTGTTTGCAGATGTAAGAAACACAAACTAATAGTGTAATTATAAAACGCTAGTGGATTTATATTAAGAAGCAAAGTGGAAACAACATCGTTGTCATCAACATTGTTGCATGTGCTACATTGACCATGCCGACTGAAGGCAAGTATCTCGTGGTCAAGCAACAACAAATGCGCTCTTTGAGTGACAGGGGGCGGGGCTAGGTCTGTGTTGAAAGCGGCATTGAGAGAGAGAGCGGAGAGGGATGACTCAAGTACCGGTCTAAACTATAAAAATTGACGTTACACACGGCATATCACATTTAACAAACCAAACATTCAAATACCGTTATAGATGGTAAAGTAAAAACACAAACCAGTCCGCGCATCAATACCGGCACCCAGCCCTACTATTTGTATTTAACCTTTATTTAACTAGGCAAGTCAGTTAAGAACATATTCTTATTTACAATAACGGCCTACACCGGCCAAACCCGGACGACGCTGGGCCAATTGTGCGCCGCCCTACGGGACTCCAAATCACGACCGGTTGTGATACAGCCTGGAATCGAACCAGGGGGTCTGTAGTGACGCCTCAAGCACTGAGATGCAGTTCCTTAGACCACTGCGCAACTTGGGAGCCCACTATATTTGGTTAGTTATGAATATCTTTGGCTGTGTTGTGCTAGCAGACAAGTGTTGTGTTAGCTGCTTCTCTCCCATTGGCTGACAGTCCCAGATGTGCTTGTGTTGATATAATCCTCAGTGTCATGGCCCATTGGGAAGGAAGTGCTTACCCAGCTGTAGATGCTGACAATGGAGCCGCTTTCATCATCCCCTTTATTGATGACTGATGAGATGAAACGTGTCTTCACAAGGAAGAGAGCACACACACCACACATGCACACATACACACACTGACGGACATTACAATGTGTTTGTGTTTTTTTGTTGAGTGTGTGTACAATAAATGTGTGTGTGGATGTCCGTGTGCATATGTATGCTTGCAGTGTGTGATCACAACATGTATGTGTGTAATTGACTTATTGCGAACACACTGGTCACCACGGTGATGGATAGAACATGGGAATGCATAGTGTGCAGTTACCATGGTGATGGGAGAATTGTGGCATGGCAGCAGGGGCTGTTTTTGGCTAATTAATGACAGTTGTTTCTGTTAAGCTGTTGTTTCATGTCTTACAGGAAATACTTGAGCGTTGTGTTGGGCTGTGTTGTGTTAGGTCAGAGAGAAAGTCACATTCTGGCAGAGGTCTGTCTTTCTCCCATCTCCACAGGTAGAGAGGGCCTTTTCTCTTACATCCATCTGCCTATGTCAGTTGGCCATTAACACTGTCACAGAGTACATTGTGTTTGTGTGTGATCATCTGTCTGTGAATGTATGTGTGTGTGTGTGTGTGTGTGTGTGTGTGTGTGTGTGTGTGTGTTGGCTCAGAGCTCCAGGTTGTTTTTAGCATGCTTCCACCTAGACTTCCTACCTATGGCATCCAGCAATAAAAATAACCAACGTCACACAACCTCTGTCTCTGTCTCTCTCCGTTGGCATGACAACAAGGGTGCTAGGGATCACATGTACAGTCACGACCGAAATTACCCTTGATAGAAATGAGTAAAAAAGACTGTATAAAATACATAATACAAATACTGAGCATGGGAAAATTATATTATTTTATACTAATACAGTTACTGAGAGAAAAATGGGGTGTCAATAATTTTAACCCTATCTTTTTGAGAGAAAAAAAATATTACTTACAATTTTTTTCTGAGCAATTGTTTTAGTATAAAATAATATAATTTAGCAATTTTGAGCATAGAATATAGCTCAGTATTTGTATTATTTATTTTATACTGTCTTTATTGCTCATCTTTATCAAGGGTGCCAATAATTTGGTCGTGACTGTATGTATTTGTATTTGTATTTATTATGGATCCCCATTAGCTGCTGCTATGTGGTGAGGTGGATATATCTTGGCTCAAACCAGGCTCCTGTAGAAGAGCTCTGCTCTGCTGGCCGTCTAGAAGGAACCTAGCTCTGTTTAAAGTAAAATGCTGACTACCCCCCAAAAAAGAAAACACCCGTGTCGACTACACCGGGCACGCGCGTGCGTCCGCGTGCACATGTGGATTTTGTCCATCCACACCAGACACGATCAGGACAAGCAGGTTGAAATATCAAAATGAACTCTGAACCAACTATATTTATTTTGGGACAATTTCGAAACACACAAACATTCATGGACATTTAGCTAGCTTGCTGTTGCTAGCTAATTTGTCAATATTTTACCTGACATGTACAAGGTCCTTTTCTTTGCTGGATCTTTGTAGAATATCAACCAATTTTTAGTCACACAAAATTGTGTGTTCTCTTCTCCGATAAGAGGGGAAGCCTAGTTAGTTTCTAGTAATCTCTCCTAGTTCAGTCTTCTTCTTCTATGCATTTTGGCAACCAACCTTAAGGTGCATTACTGCAACCAACTGGAATGGAGGGTGGACCTCATTTATCTTTCAATCACCCACGTGGGTATATGCTCCTAAAAACCAGGCAGGACTTGCAGCGCGTCAAGCGTCACAAATAGAACCAAGTTCTATTTTAGCGCCTGGCTACGCAGACACTCGTTGACGCGCACGAGCAGTTTGGATGGAATTATAGAATAACATGTATGTGTACATTTATTTAGCAACACTCGCACACGCAACGCGGCCGGTATGATCAGCATCTGTCTGTCTGTCTATAGAGCTGCATGATTAACTCTCTATTCATTCTAACTCTGAAGCCCTGCGAAGAAGTCAGAGAGAGAGAGAGAGAGAGGGTCCTTTAGTCCTTAAAAACGGCAACTACACAATTGTAATGTTATGTGTGTGCATGCGTGTGGCCATGCATGTGTATGCCTGTATCAGTCTGTGCTCGTGCGTACGTGTGTGTGTGCGCGTGCGTGCATGTGTCTGGTGTGTGTGCACGTGAGTGCATGTTTGTGGCCTATAGTTGTGATTAATTCACCAGCCATTTATTTTTCCAGAAATAGACTGGCATAGCTATGCCCTGTTCTCTGTATCGTCCTCTCTCTCTCTCTCTCTCTCTCTCTCATTCTTTGTTCCCGCGCCCATAGAGGAGAGGAAAAGAGGAGAGATGCTCTGCTCGTTCAAACTACTTCAGCCGGATAAACGCTCTTCAGTCAGCGTGCTCACAACAAGCCAATACCACTGTGTTATGTAAACTAGTCTATGAGGGGGGGGGGGGGGGGTATTGACCCATATTACTGTTTTACAATCACATATTCCAGATCACAGAACATCCTAGAGAACATTGTTCCATGTACCTCACAACTGTCGGTTGGGATTGGCTGTTTCAGAGCTGCAGTGTGTTTTGATTGGTTTGTTCCGACTCTGTGCTGACTCACAGAAGAGTGAGAGATAGAGCAGAAGGGGATAAAGTTGGAGAGGGGAGAGGGGACAGAGAAAGAGAGAGGAAA